GAGAGAGAGAGAGAGAGAGAGAGAGAGTCAAAACCTGAGGTGACGAGTGTGAGGTATCAAATAATAATCATCACGTCTCTCGTAGAGATGAGAGGGGTCTCTGGGGTGTTTCTGGAAAATTTTGGAGGCAGAGGCCACAAAGACCCTAAACAGAATAGCAAGAGGGCTGCCGTATGGTCTATAAGTGCGATATGAGCACGAACCAGTCAAGAAAATAAGTGTTGCTACCAAGGTACATATGGCAGGGATGCCATACCTCATTGACCAAGGCTTTATATAATAACTAGCAAAAGCTCCAGCTATAGGGACGTGGATCACCATAAAGCTTATGACCAAGTGACGGAGGCTGCTGTCTCTACGGTTTGAGTGTGAGTCCTGGTCAGCCATGAATTGTGGTACGGAGACTAAGTGACCAGAAAATCCCACAGCTATTAGAGCTAAAGCTGTGAAAAAGAGGATTTTTTGCCCTTGGCTGATACACTCGGGATCATATGCGCTGCAAGTGGCTGTTGCAGCAGCAAGGTCTGGTGGTGTTAACATTGACAGAAAACCTAAGCCCTGCACTCCAAAATGATTAAATATATGGTGATCATATTCTGCTTAGAATTACAGTGATTTTGTGACACTTACAGCGATGTAGGAAAAACTGGAGAGCAAGACCATCCAATAGTAACCCATGAAAGTATCCACAAAAAATTGCAAGCCCACTGGCATTATGGCCGCCATGCCCCAGAACAAATTGACAATTGCAGCGGCGTGGTTGAGGTTGAGCTTCCATGCGTCAGTTAAGTATGCCATGGTCATCCACATTGCATATGCAGCTAGTAGATTAGTCCACATCAGCGCTACGCACAGTTAAGGAGAAGGAAAAGAATTGAAAAGGAATGTCAGGCATGATGGAAGATTAGAATAAGAAGTTTGGGTTAATACAAACATATAACAAGCAGTGACTCAAAGGGTAGCTAGGTCTTTTTACCATTGATCTGCACAAAAGCTAACATTTCTAAGTGTGTGCTGTATATCTCACTCTGTGAGGAGGACTGAGGAGGAACAGTTGGGGAGGAAGAAAGAAAAAACAGCAACCTAACCGGAGTTTCTCCAGTGAAATGATTAACTCACACAGAGTAGAAAACAAATAATCAAAATTATTATGTTATATTCTTCTCAATATTTTAATGAACTTTGAAGAATGAGTCATGTTCTTCGCCGCCGCCTATGTATGATCTAATGATGACATTGATGTCTAAACTCCAGAAGTTGACATTCTGCTCTGCCACCTACTTTAGAAGACAAAATTTTCTTTAAATCCTTCAAAGAAATACTTTAACAGTCAAAAATTTGAATGCTTGGATTTGAAGAAACCCCATTGACGGGAACTTAGGCATGGAAGTCAACTTGGGCAAATCGACTTTCAACACGATGAGCGAAGCCTCCATATGAACAAAGGTTGACATTTTTAGTTATCCTTTGAGGATTTGAACCGCGGTTTTTTCTTTGAAAAAAAATAAAGCATATGTGAAGAAACTGAAGAACTGAATTGATATTGATTTGAGTTCCTCATGGATTTGCTTCAGCTTTATTCAAGAAAGCAGGAAACCAGATCCTACACTAATGCCTACAATTATGCTAATAGTTTTTACAATACAAGAAAGAGAATCACTAATTGGTTGACTATTAAACACTAATTATCAGATATCATCACAATCAATCAATAAAATAAAATAAAGAGTTATTCAAATAAATTAGTTAATTGAGTTGAGGATGACAAAACCACACTAATATTGAAAACAGCCTGCCTCTATGATAAGGTGCTTATTAAAAAAAAGAGTATAAATAAATAATAATAAAAAAATGCTTCATGATTGAGATTGAGAAATAAAAAATAAAGAGTTATACAAATAAATTAGTTAATTGAGTTGAGGATGACAAAACCACACTAATATTTAAAACAGCCTGCATCTATGACAAGGTGCTTATTATAAAAAGAGTATAAATAAATAAATGCTTCATGATTGAGATTGAGAAGATTGGAGTTGCGCACCTCACATTAGTCAAATTTGTTAAAAATATTGCTTGCATAGGGAGGGAATGTCATTTGCAGAGGTTTCTTTGAATGGAGCTTTCACTTGCACTGAAAATATAAAGAACACATGTGCTTGTTTAGAGTGTCTTGGAACCAAATGGCTCATTAGCAATAGGTACAAATCCAATAGCAACCCCAACAACAAGTAGAGTGCATCATTATACAAACCATGCATGACTTAGATAAAATGATTATCTTATTTCTTTCCTTTCTTTATTTAACGTGAAAAGATTTGTATTTATGGAAGAAACATGGCTACACATATGCATATCCGTAGGAAAATCTATGCACAACAGCAGCAGCATTGCACATTATCATCAAATGGCTCAGCAGTTTCCCCATAATCAGGTGCTTCGTCGTCCTCCGACCTTGAATCGTTATAAGCATACCAAATGCTCATCAAAACATACAGAACAAGATTAGCTGCAGCCAATGCAGCCAAGGTCCAATAATATTGATCCAAACGACTCTGGTTTAGAGTCTCTTGGAACCAACTGGGTTTCCCTCCCCTTCCACTTATCTCACCCACTAGATAAACTGACAAGACACTGCCCATAATCCCCATTCCAAAAACAGCAATAGCAAATAGAACCATGTACCGAGCCATGGATGGAGGGACCTGATTAATGAAGAACCAACCAATGCTATTGTCTGCAATCCCATCAAGGCCTCCGAGGAGAAGAAACTGTGGAAGCAACCAAAAGATGCTCATGGGAATTGTTTCCTCAGGCTTGTCAATTAGACCGCGGCTATTAACCACGCCTAACCTTCTTGTCTCCACTTTTGCAGCCGTGATACAACATAGAATTGCAAATATCATTGACACAGCAATTCCAATTGGGGGGCCATACCTTGTTAGTCCTCCAATTTGGAAGTAGATTTTGGCAAATTGTTGTTTGGCATGGTCATAGAACCATAGAAGGATTGGAAGAGGAACCTTTATGCGTCCAACTTTGTGATTCATGTGGGTTGCTTGCTCGATGAAGTAGGTATTCCCAATAGAAGATACAACACCCATTAGGATAAAGATTGTGCATATGGGAATCATGCACAGGATGCTTTTGGTTTCTTCCACTTCTGTGACTCTGCAAAGCCTCCACCTATTATTTTGTTGTTGCTCTAGAGGTTGGGTGGCTAATATAATCGCAGCCTTGTCTAGACACCTAAATTTCATATACATAAAAAAAAAAAGTTGGGTTTTTGTCTTTACAATCAAAGAAAATATGTTGCAAGGGTGCCATTAGTTGCACTCTTTTATGTGCATGTGTGCATGTGTTGTGTCATATGGAAAATAGAAGAGTCAAAACCTGAGGCAAGGAGTATGAGATATCTGATAACCATCATCACGTCTTTCGTAGAGCTGAGAGGCATCTCTCGGGCATCTTCTGAAAATTTTGGAGGCAGAGGCCACAAAGACCCTAAACAGAGTAGTGAGAGGGCTGCCTTGTGCTCTATGAGTGTGATATGAACACGAACCAGTCAAGAAAATAAGTGTTGCTACCAAGGTACATATGGCTGGGATGCCATACCTAATTGACCAAGGCTTTATATAATAAATAGCAAAAACTCCGGCTATAGGGATGAGGATCACCATCAAGAAGCTCAGGAAAAAGTGACAGGGCATGCTGTCTTCAAGGTCTGATTGTGAGTCCATAAACTGCTCAGCAATGAATGCCCCTAACGAGGTTAAGTGACCAGACATTCCCACAGCTATTAGAACTATTGCTGTATAAAAGAGGATTTTTTGTCCTTGGCCTATGCACTCCGGCTCATATGCGCTGCAAGTGCCTGTTGCCCTAGCAAGAACTGGTGGTGTTGACATTGACAAAAAACCTAAACCCTGCAGTCGAAAACGATTAATATGGTACTGAATGACATTGATTTTTAGACTGGAAGAAATTAACTTACAGCACTGTAGGCGAAACTGGAGACCAAGACCATCCAATAGTTACCCATGAAAGCATCCACAAGAAATTGCAAGCCCACTGGTAGTATTGCTACAATGCCCCAGAACAAATTGACAATTGCAGCAGCATGTGTGAAATTGAGCTTCCATACCTCAGTCAAGTATACCATGGTCATCCACATTGCATACACAGCGAGTACATCCGCCCATGTCAGCACTATGTACAGTTTATGTACAGTTTAGGAGCAGAAGCAAAAGAATTAAAGAAAAATGTTATGCATGATGGAAGATTTGATTAAAAAGTTTAGGTTAATGCAAACATATAACAAGTAATAGATTAAAGTGTTGCTAGGTCAAGTTACCAGTGATCTTCACTAAAGTTAACATTTCTAATATCTCACTTTGTGAGGAGGAATAGTTGGGGAGGAAGAAAGAAAGAACAGCAACCTAACAGAGTTTGGACAATGGAAGAATTTAGTTCACAGAACTTGCACAGTTAGAAGGTTTTTTCCTTTTTAACTACAGAACAAATAATCAAAATTGTTATGTTATATTCCTTTTAATAATCTAATTTAGCAGAAGTTTAATTAATAAACATCCAAACTTAGTGATAAGTTTGAAGAATGAGTCATGTTCTTCCCTGCCGCGTGAGGATATTGATGTCTAAACTCCACAAGTTGACATTCTGCTCTGCCACTGACGCCAATTTTAGAAGACAAATATTTTCGTATTTTCAGTCCCTTGGTTTCTGACTTTTTATAAGATAAAAAGTTGAAGACAAATATTTTAGTTAATTGAGTTGAGTATGATACTACCAAGCGCGTATTTAAAACA